TGGTGTCATGGTTTGAACTCTGGTTTGGGATTGATTTGGATGGTTCCGAAAAGAGAATACCCTTTACAAAAGACAATCAGAGACCTGCTGAGCAATTGCAATCCCTTGGTAGAGAAATATCCGTGCAATGGCCGGAGGTGTGCTGGCGGAGGGTTGCACTTTTTTTTTCTGAGCGGAAGCGTGACGTCCCTCAAGGATGGCGGAGGTGAGCCGGAGGTGAGCTTGGCGGAGTCAAGACTACACCTCCGAGAAGATAACCACCGCACAGCCTTGATCGCTCATCGCTCTCTTCTTTTCGCCAAATCATACTGTCCTGTTGACTTCCCGCAAAGTAATGTACAGTCCGTCGATAGAATAACCTCACCATTATTCCTCCAGCAATCCTCCATACCGCAGCCAACCCCGCATCCGCAGTATCAGCATCGGCCTCGTGTATGTCAACAGCACACAACTACAACACACCCACAACAACCACATACTAACCATATCACCAGTTCCTCCTCGCATCAAACCTCCAGAAACGAAAAAAGATGTCTCAGTCTCACGCCACAACAACCTTTCAGTTCCCACCAACCTACTCCTTCCCCCCGTTCTTCACCCCGCAACCCAACAGCACAACCCGCCTCTCCCAACTCCAGAAATGGTCCTCGCTCATCCAATCCTGGTGCCGCCACCATCGCACCTACCGCCTCTCACTGATTGAAGCGATTGACAGCCCGCTCTTCCACAATGCTTCGCTGCGGAAAAGGTTGGGTCTGAGTGAGGCCAGGGCCGTGTTGGACTGGATGGCCAAGCCCGAAGAGGAAGGGGGTGGTGGGAAGCGGGCGGAATGGATCGACGGGGGGAGTAAGTCGGTGGCCTGGATTTGGTGGAGGAGGCCAGAGGAGTGGGCGGGAATCGTGGCGGATTGGGTGGGTACTTCCTTTCCCTGCTTGTTGGCTAGCTTGCTGATGGTTGGTCTAGGTGGAAGCGACAGGGCAGAAGAATGTTGTCCTGACGGTGTACGAGCTGCTGGAGGGAGAGGCTACGATGTCGCAAGGTCTGGTTATGACTTTTGTCCTTCTCGTGAGTCGTCGCTGACATCTTCTAGAATGGCATGGTATGGATGCAGACGTGATGCTCAAGTCTCTGAACGTTCTTGTAAAACGCGGCAAGGCCCAGGTGTTCGGCAGCGAAGGCCAGGAAGGTGTCAAGTTTTTCTGAACTGAACTCGCTTTGAAACGCTAAAGCCAAACTTTCGAGCTGCATGACTATTTGCACGGAGCTGCTAAGCGCAGCATCAAATCTGTCCGCAAAAAAAGAAATCCCAATATACCTAAAGACCCAGACATTGATCCATCATAACCATGTACAAGGTAAGTACCCGAGAAAACACCGGCTTGGCTATGCAGCAACCCTAACACCGAAACCAGGCGAACGCGCTGTCTAGTGGTCGCCCTGGTCAACCATATCTTCCCTCAGCTCGTATCCCTCAGCTGCATGCAGCTCCTGGGACATGGCAATGTCCAGAAGCCAGTCAACGCGCACAATTCGTGGTGTCTTGCTCATGCTCTGTGCCAACTGTGAAAATCGTGGCCAGAGCTTCTGATGTTCGGGCGATACACTGCTAAGAAGGTAAACCTCTTTGCGACTGAGGTCACTCTCAGATGAGCTATCATCTTCGCTCTCTTCCCGCTGCGAGTGGTAGGAGACCCTTCCGCGGAAAAGGGTGCAGGTCCCTCCATTGACATCTACTATGGACTTGAACGCTTCAAATCCTCCACGGATGGACTCCACACAGTAGATTTGATAGCCCTGCAGGAGCTTGTTCTTGTTCTTCTTTGCCTTGGTCCTCGCTTTTTCAAGAGAGAAGCCAAACCTCTTTTCGGCGGCTTTGTCCACCAAGCGGAAGTCGTCAGGGTTCAGAAGCTCATTCTTCTTGAGGCACTCTGTGATGAAATCAATGTTCACAATCGCAGGACCGTATGCCAGCGCATTGACGAATTTGGGAGTTCGCAGTATAGACGGGGCGGCGAGATGTGTACATCTTCGTGCATCTTGCACAACCATGATCCCAAGGTCGCGAAGTTGGCGCTGATGATCATTAACTCTTTGCCAAATATGTGCGGGTGCATATAGTTAAAATATGAATTGGCAACATACCTTGTCTGCATCCTCTTTCTTCAAATTGCCCACCCACTTCTGATATCCAGTAATAAGGAGATGCATGGCAATAGGAGGTTTCGACTTCTTCTGTCTCTTCGCCTCCGTCGCATCATTGTCTTCGTCGCTTTCTTCTGGTGGTTCCACTGATCTGCGTTTCTTAGCGTTGTTGAGCATGACTCTGTCCTCGTCGCTCTTTCTTCGCCCGCCATAGATCACACCTCCGACTCGCTTCTTCTCCTTTTCGTACAAGGCGATATCTGGTGCGAGTTCCTGGAGTCGATTGAAAGCTGCTTCCTTTGACTTGCGACTGCTCGTTGAAGATGGTGTGTCGTTTTCTTTGCCCTCCGACTCCAACCGAGCCCGTGCGGGCGTCTGTGGCTTCTTGTTCTCTGAAATTTTACGTGACTTGTCAGCTGCTCGTGGCGTCGCATTCTGAGCATCGACGGCCTTGACTGTAGGTGGCTGCATAGCGCTTGATGTCTTTCCGGCATCAGTATTCTGGTCTTTGGTCTGCATTGCTCGTCGAGGGCTATCTGATGATTGAGTTGTGCCCTCCAAAGAAGAAAAGAAGTGGCTTTCTAGCACAGCTCTGTCCAGGCGTGTCTGACCGACAACCTCGCCTAGATTCGTCCGCTTAGGAAAGTGAGTATAGCGAGGATCAGATACCGGTTGCATCTTCCATTTAGCATAGCTTTCCTCCAACCAGAGGTGATTCACAACGTGCAACCCCCATTCTTTGGCAGCAGCGCATTTCTCACTGTTACCATGGGCGGTCACTAGGTGCGTGTTTTCCTGCTTTAGTGTCTTGGTACACTCTGCGCCTGCCGCTGCGATCAAATTCTCCAGGTAGATTCTCGCTTCGCCGACATAATTGGACAGACTGATTTTGAGCCCTTCGAACCCGGGTATTCCTACGCGCGAGATGGGGTAGTGTAACATCCGTCGTAGCGGCGAGGTCCATGCATTGTAGGTGATCATATGGTAGAGCCATGATAGGTTTCCAACGTCTTTATTTAACCTTGACGCCAAGCGATAACCGAATCCAGATCTGTAACGGCAGATGTAGATATCTGCTTCCGAAACGTCCGATGTCACACGGCCGCCAGCGTCCCTGATTACCTCGACAATCGTGTTAGTTAAATGAATGCCGATCCCAAGATCTGCCGAAAGCATGATCTTTTTCCCTTGGAAAACATCGAGTTTTGGCCGTGGGTGAGCAGCGACGATTGACGCTGGTAGGTTGGTCGGCTCAGGCGTCGAGGCGCCAATGATATCGCGACTCTCCGATGATCGAATTGGCGCGTCTGTACCCACGCGGAGGATTTCAGGATCTGGAAGAGTATATGGGCGCTCGTCGATTCTCCTTCCTAGCTTGAGGCAGTCATCGAACCTTTTAATTGAGGTCAATCAGAATACAATGAAAATAGTAGGGTCAACACGGTCATACCAGTGCGGAAGCACAATCTTGATGTTCAGCTTCCTAGAAGTGACTATTCGCGCCTTATCGGAATCCACTGTCAGATCAACCAAGTGAGTGACCATACCCGACACCCTGGGACTGTAGAGACCGCCTTTGGCCAAAACGCCGCCAATAATCGCATCCTTATCGCCTTCTGGAATATCACCGCACATAACGACAACGTCGTTCAGGAATAGCCTGGGATCCGGGTTGTATTGTCGCGGGTTGGCCAACTTTTTCTTCGCTAGAGACGCCTGCAACCATTGCGGTTTGACGACGGGAATGAGAGCATCATTAGCAGCATCGAATGCAGGAAAATCCACAGTATTTGATATCAAATGCGTGAATCCTTCTGTAAGGGGCGGGAAGTCTGCTGGCGGCTCGTAGATTACGGTCTCCCCGCCATGCGCCTCGAATGTTGACGCGAGCTGGTTTGAGTAGTCAGTCGGACGTAAGTCGTACAGTCAACGGGTACCAAGAAGACATAGGCGTACCTGATGAGCCGTATCAGGACTGAGGTCTTTGGAGCAAATTATACAGACTTTGCATTGGTCGAAGAGCTGAAACTCTTCGTCGCGGCCCGCCATGGCGGAAATGGAAACAGCAGTCTGTAGAAAATGTCGGCTTTTTCTGAGACTCTTGTTTATTTATTGATCCTCCTGACAAATAACTAATACCAGTATCATGACGATGAAGTAGGTAAAGCGTACATGGGCGCAGCACCTAGACGTTGTCCTTGCGATTGAGAATCTGCAAATGATGCCTGAGGGATGCGACGCGCCGACGCGAGGCATCACGACGCCATGTCACGTGATCCTGTGATGAATGTGATCTGTCGTTTTCCTCACAAGGCAACACGAGGATTAGTGATATTAAGCATAGTTTGACTGTTTTATTATTATTATTATTGGTTGCATTGCAATGCTACCACATCATTGATGCAGTGTTCGATTCGAGCCTAGTATTCGAGAGTGCATTCTGCGCTAGACTCCAACGCCTGAGCTGAATTGATGGAGACAGCGGTTTTAATTACACAATTACCAGCTATCCAGATGATTTATGAGATCTTCCAAATAATTTGTTGAATAACCACCGGATATGGTAACAAGGGACTTCATTACTACCGCCAATCTGGCCCGATCACCAACTAAACCCACTCGCCCCGGCAGTTGGGCTGATCCGTCTTGTCACTTTTCTGTCCCCATCGGCCTTCAGCTTCCTCGGCTCATCCCCCAAACCCCGGCAACTAGTACTGCATGGCTCCAAGAATGATCATAATAGTGGGGTCCCCGGTTTATCGATATGACGGGATTAATAGCTATTATTGAAATCCAGCAATCTCTCTCTGCCCTTTCTCCTTTACAATATCACATTCTTTGTGGGTGATTGATTCAAAATGTCTTCGTCGTCGTCATCAATCTCAGGGCCTTTCCGCATCGTGGAACATGTGGTAGAATGCCAACATATCAGAGAGTATCCCGGAGCCACTGCGAACGAACAAGAAGACGTACTGCATCTGGCAGTAAAACAATACATTCCACTCGATAACCCTGAGCCCCAGCCTGGCGATGTGACCATACTCGCCGCTCACGCCAATGGCTTCCCAAAGGTATATCTGGATACTCTACGGATCACATGCGAGCGCATACTGAGTTCATAACCAGGAGCTGTATGAACCACTCTGGGAGGAGATATATGCGCGCTCCAAAGCCAATGGGTTCCGCATTAGAAGTATCTGGATGGCAGATGTGGCGCACCAAGGACAAAGCAGCGTGCTCAATGAGGATCTTCTAGGAAATGATCGTGCGTTGATTGTTATCGGGCCAACCTCTCGAACGTGATAAACTGACTAGACCACGTCAACAGCTAGCTGGTTTGATCACCCCAGAGATCTACTTCATCTCGTCAATGTCAAGCGCAAGGAAATGCCCCGTCCAATCGTCGGAATCGGCCACAGCATGGGCGGCGCTCACCTGTGAGTCTACCTGACCCAACCCTTGGAAAGCTCATGCAAGTGACTCTAACGCTATCGCAGTGCGCAGCTATGCCTAATGCACCCCCGACTCATCCACACCCTGGTGCTACTAGACCCAGTCATCCAACGCCAAACCACCCAACTCGAGCCGCGACCCCTGTTCAAAGACCAGCTCGTCATCGCCAAAACCACCCAACTCTCCACCTACCGCCGAGACAAGTGGCCGTCCCGCAAAGCCGCCGCAGAAGCCTTCAAGAAGAACCCCTTCTACCAAACCTGGGACCCCCGCGTCCTCGACCGCTGGATCAGATACGGCCTCCGAGACCTCCCTACCGCCATCCACCCGCTAGAGGAGACCACAATCTCCCAAGGCAGTGACCGGCCAGTCACTCTCACAACGACTCTCCACCAGGAGGTCTTCACCTTTTCGCGGCCCAACTACGACGGGCCACCGGGCAAAAACGTCCCGATTAACCGGGTAACGCATCCCGATCTGAACCCCAAGCACGTTGGCTCGTTTCCTTTCTATCGGCCGGAGCCGTCCCGTATCTTCGGTCAGCTTGAGCACCTCCGTCCGAGCGTGTTGTATATCTTCGCCGGCAAGTCGGAGATGTGTCTTCCCGACATGATGGCCGATAAGATGAAGAACACAGGCACGGGGCTTGGTGGCAGTGGCGGTGCGGCCGAGGGACGTGTGCGCGACGTTTATCTCGAAAAATATGGTCATTTGCTCGCCCAAGAGGCGCCCACTGAGTGCGGTGAGGCGGCGAGCCGATGGCTCGGCAAAGAATTGGAGCGATGGAGGGCGGAGGAGCAAGCCTTCCGAGAGCAGTGGAGCAAGAAGTCAAAGGTCGAGAAAGTGACTATCGATTCACGGTGGAAAGAGCATGTACCAGCGCCCGTGAGGCCTAAGAAGGATTCTGAGGCCAAGTTGTAAGAGGCTCAGATTTTCCTATTTTACCATGCAGCGAGAAGAGTGCTCGTATAATAGACAAATACACAAAGAATCATCTACGCGACGTGAATGCTACGTAGACAAAATTTGGTTCGAAATCTGTCAAGCGACTTTCCTGTTTTTTTATATACTTCATTTCTCGTCTATAAGACAACCCTGAGGGATCTATAAGCAAGTTCAGTCTTAATGACCAACGTAGACCGTTAAAGGAACTCGAGCAAGTCCGGAGCGCCTGGCTCCACGTGTCGCAGATAATGGGGCAGGCTCGAGTCAAAAGGGCATTTGGAATAGTTAAATCAGAGTGACTTCTTGGCCGGTCGACTTCCGGAGTCAGTACTGACGCGGACAATTTCCGGGAAGTTCCAGAAATGAGGCCACCACAGCTCATATTCCTCTTGCCGTTTGTTCATGCAATGGCGCAGCCAGATACCCCATACGATATATAGGTAAGCTCCAATACCAGTCATAACATGCCTGCAAGAGACATTAGCAAAAAGCCGAGTACTGGATTAATAAACTAAACGTACCACCAACCATGGCCCTCAAGGAAAATACCCCAAGGAAGGCCGACTACCCGACGCCATCTGCGGAGCGTAGGGCAAAAGCGGTTATCCAGATTCCAAATAAGGAATCCCCCCAGAAACATTGTTAGTCCATAGGCAACCATGAACCACATTGTTTTGAGAATCCTCAAGTCCCTGACATTCTCGTAATGCTGTTGTTCCTTGGAAGACACGGGGAGACCTTTCTTTTGACGAGCCAGCCGATCCTCCTCAGTCGAGTGCCGCAAAGATGGGCGAAGTGTCACTTCCATGGTGTACATACTTCTCAACACGACAACAATCGTCAAGATCGCATACGCATTTTGATGGAACACGGGGTTCTGGAGGTAATGGTAGTAAAGAGTGATAAAGACGGCCAAACTCGTCAATGCGATGGCGAGAACAATACGGAAGCCGAGCGGCCTTGAGTAAGAAAATGAGGCATAGCACATCAAGCAGGTCGTGTAGATCATCGAGAGCTCATCAACTAGTTGCATCGGATCTAGTAGGCAGTCAGTAATATCCGAACGTATCCTTTCATAGTGACTGGACTTGCATTTGAGAGTCGAGTGGAATAGGAAACTTCCAGTCCCAACTATGAGATATCCGTAGAAAGCCACCTGGAAGATCGTATCATGTCCATATCGCCGACAGCTCCGGATGCCCTTGAATCCAAGCCACATGAACAAGAGATTTGTCAGACTATTGACGATTTCGGCAGAGTAGATGGTCACATAGTAGTCCTATACTCATAACACGTGAGCAACAAGACAGGATCCCAGCGGAAGTTATACACACCTCTTCACACCAGTTCAATGTCGATGTGACGGGGCTCCAATATCCGGCCTTGGAAGGCGAATATGGAATGGACGTTGGGAAAGACCACTGAGACATAGTGGCTCTCCGCGGCGGGTATAGGACAGCCTCTTTTAACTGCGCCAAGTAAAAAGGTTAGGATATGGATGGCATCGCAGAGAGGAGGGGAAAGAAGAGATGTAAGAAGAAGTCAAAGAGGCACCTTAGTCATGTACACTGTCTAGGTAGACAGATACTATTCCCTGGTCAGGTTACACTTCACCTACCTAGGTATGCAAGGAACCTACTGGTTACGCTTCCACACAAGCCTGTGACGTCGATTTATTACACAAACCAGCGGGACCCATTAGTGTAAACTCCGATTTGCAGTGTGCCGATTGGACAGACAGAAGCTCCGCAGGCTGCCGAAGCCCCGGCGGAAGGCGTATCGTCATGGGATTACCGCTCTGAAAGGTAAGTACCTACCTTACTGGAGCCACCTGCCTTAGGTATCCGCATTTGATAGGGTATTTTACCTAACTATGGATGCTGTTTTCAGATTACCCATGCATTCCTAACCTGCATGGAACGCTTGCAGAGAGTTATCGCAAATGAATACAACAATTTCAATATATCACTTCGTCTATGGAGTATTTTTCTCAGAAGACATGGATGGATATAATGTAGCGCTCTAGAGGTTGTATCTAGCTGGGTACATCAGGCAGCTCTGTATCATCGTATGATACGCCGTATGGTTATGTAAAGGACGGTAAGGTAAATCCAAATGTGGCTGGTGCTTGGTCATCTGCAGCCAATCACATCGCAACTGGCCGGAAACCTGATGACTTCACCGATAGTCGTGCATCTGAGGAAAATGTTGGAGACCCTCTGCGCGGAGAAAAGCCACAGTCAAATCTTATTGATCTCACTTGCATAACTAGGAAGTGACTCAGATTTGTCCCAGACCTTTCATCGCACTTCATTGGCACTGGATTTCTCTTAAGATGTGGTCACTGCATATTCTGTAAATCGACCGCTGAGCGGTCTCCAATTTCTTGTTCATATACGGTGCTGGAGCGCCGTTGCTTACACGAATGAGCTCAAGCCTATATCGTCAACCTTGATAGAAGATAGTGAGCTCCCGGGGTAGACCTGTGGAACTCCTGCAAGGGACATGTCGAACAATGCTACATACGCAGTGACACCGGTGAAAACAACCTCCACATGTACGAACGTTGTGACTATCTCTTCTTTGAACAAGACTGCCAAACCCAAGGTCTCAGCTCTGTGACAAGATTGCTAATGCTCTATTTCTGGTTCAGCATCCAAAACCACATTCCATTTCGTCGCTGGTCTCTGCTCCGGCTTAACCTCCTCCATCCTTCTACAACCCGCAGATCTCCTCAAGACCCGCGTACAACAGTCTCAGAAAACCGCTTCTCTCCTACCTACTATCAAGACGATTCTCTCCTCTCCTAATCCCATCCGCGGTCTATGGCGTGGTACACTTCCTTCAGCCCTTCGAACGGGCTTTGGCTCAGCTCTATATTTCACCAGTCTGAATGCCTTACGCCAAGGCTTAGCGCAGACGGAGGCTTCCATGGCCGTCGCCGCATCAAGCGATGATGGAAAATCTCGTACTTCGTCGTCTGCGCTACCCAAGTTGTCTAACTGGGGCAACCTAGCCACCGGCGCCGTTGCACGGACAGCTGCGGGTTTCGTGATGATGCCGGTCACCGTGCTCAAGGTACGCTATGAATCCGATTATTATGCGTATCGCAGTCTCTACAGTGCGGGGCGCGATATCGTCCGTACAGAGGGCGTACGGGGCCTATTTTCAGGATTCGGGGCGACTGCCGCGCGGGATGCCCCGTATGCAGGACTCTATGTTCTTTTCTACGAGCAATTGAAACGACGTCTAGCCTCGGTTGCAAGCTCAGAGCAGTCAGAGCAGCCACACAAATCGGCTTCGTCTTCATCCATCAACTTTGTGTCTGGTGGATTGGCCGCTGGCCTGGCCACGGCGATCACCAACCCTTTCGATGCCGTCAAGACCCGTCTGCAGCTCATGCCTGGCAAGTACGGGAACATGATACGTGCTGTCCGGTTGATGATCCGCGAGGATGGCATCCGAAGTCTCTTTGGCGGTTTGGGGCTTCGCATTACGAGAAAGGCACTCAGCTCAGCACTTGCCTGGACTGTCTATGAAGAACTGATTCTGCGGGCTGAGGCTCACTGGGCTGAAAAGGACAAGATCAACTTATGATGATAATATTATGACCTTGCCATACTATATTTTTCCATCTTTGAGACTTCTCGGTGCTCGTGCAGCGGTTTACAGGCAATTACGGGAGAACAGAACATAGCGTCTCATCCTGATATTGAGCTTCTTGTATCATATATATAACGATGAATATCCCATCTCAACCAAAGAAAGACACAAACTCAAAACCGAGTACAACTTGACTGCTAATAACGTATCATAGATCATCAGACATCACCAAAAAGGACACCGTCTTCAGCAAAAGCCCATGAGAGTTGAGGTTGAGCATTCAATGCGATAAGGCCCGAGGCAAAGACAGTCTGGTATCATTCCAATATACCACCCAAAAACATCAATAGGCTCATTATGTGAAAATCCATGCCCGCCGGTTGGGGCTCTTCTTGCGCACAAGGAACATCTTGTCCTTCTTGCGATCATTGACTTTGAGCTCGGTTAGGGTGCTTGAGGTCTCAGTGATGACCTTGCCTTCGCGTAGCCGCCGTGTGTGGGCAAAGAGCTCTTCCTGGAGATCTTCAGAGATCCATTGCTTGATGATAATGTAGTTGCCGTCGAGCTATGGGGAAAGGAATGTCAGTATGCCCCCCTCTTTGATTGGTAGGTATACAGATGACTTACCTCATCGAAATCCCACGGCAGGCGATAAGCAATCAGTGTCTCTGGGAGGATATACTTGCGGTGGACCTGCAATCGATGGTGTCAGATCTCAGGCAATAGCTTGGGCCCGCTGAATCCAGATCACTTACCTTGATCCACGTAGTTTTGTGGTGATCAATCTCTTTCTCCTTCTCTTTTTCCTTTTCCTTTTCCTTTTCTTTTTCCTTCTCTTTTTTCTCTTCCTTGTCTTTCTTCTTCTCCTCTTCCTTGGGTGGATTCTTCTTTTTGTTGATGATGTCCTCAATCTCTGCCTCGGTATAACCAAACTCCATCTTTAGTCGAGTCCTGAACTCGCGGTCTTTTCTCTCCTTCTCCTCCCGCTCAGCAATGCGCCTCCGCTCCTCGGCGATCTTGTATTCCTCGATAGCAGCCTGCTTCATGGCCGCCTCCTTCTTGTCACGTTCCATCTGCTCGAGCAGCTGTCTTGCTTGCTCATCACGGAGTTGCTTCTTGAGACGCTCGCGCTCTTCCTCTTCCTCCATCTTGCGCTGAAGCTCCTTAAGTTTCTCCTCACGCAGCTTGGCCCGGACTTCTTCCTGCTCCGCAGCCTGACGCTCCGCCTCTTCGAATTTTCGTAGCTTGAAGCGGAACTCGGCCTGCCGCTGTTCCTCTTCCATGCGCTTCTTCTTCTCGAACCGCTCAAGTCTTCTTAGACGTTCACTGATCTCATCTTCGTACCAGTCCTCTTCTTCTTTAATAAGTTGAGTCTGGTTGTTCTCATTTTCACCGCGCCGGCGAGCAAGCTCCCGCTCTAGACGTTCGATCTCCATCTGATGCTTCACGAGCTCGAGGTCCTGGCGTACATCGTTCTTCTCGAGCATCCGTTGGTCAATCACCAACTCAAAATCACGTTGGTGACGAGGAGAAGGCTCGCGAGACACGCTGGTGCTAGCACGAGGTCGACGGTGCTTTCGGAGAACAGTTTCATCCTCCGACTCGATATCGACAATGGTTGTGTCCTCCTGGCGCTGCTTGCGGTTCTTGTTGGCACTCCTGTTGGTGCTTTTGTTGCGGGAGTCGTTTTTAATATCAACAATGACTGCGGGAGGAGGGGGAGGGGGCTGAACTTCACGGCGGCGCCGACCGCCCGTTGAAGCGGAGCGATGGATACGGACGTCTTCATGCAAGACAGGGCTGAGATAGGTCGTGCTGCTGAATTCAGGATCATAGCGATGACGAGAAATCGAACGTCTTCTGACGGAGTGCCTGTGGCGGGGAATGTCCATGGAGACGTCCGACTCCGAGTAGTCTGACTCTGACTCGGTGACTAAACGCGCATGACGAGGCATCTCGATCAGCGTTTGCGTCAGTCTAGAGATTTAATTATATATGTGATCGTATTGTGCGGTCGAGGCTGACAAGGCTGAATCACGTCGGGTATCGAAGCGGGGTGGCGCAGGAATCTATATATGAGGGGCGGCGGCAGTTGTATAGAGTTGCAGGGACTTGAGAGGAAGGATAGGTCGATAAGAGAAGAAAAGAAGAGATGAAAGGCAAGGGCGGAAATAGGACTGGCCCTAGAAAATAGAGAAGAGTAACCAGCCACAGCGTTTCGTAAAAGCGGGAACGGCCAGCGCTACGAAGACCAGACGAGGTTGAATGGATGATGACATTCAGCTGAAGTGGGGGAGGAAGCAGGTTTAAGTATCGCAGGAGACCTGAGAGATCATCCCGTCACAAACGGTCGCAGCAGCCTAACTATGGAGTACTAGTGATTCTTCTTATCTATTTCCTTTTTGCCTGACACTGTGGATTTGAGAATGGAAGACAGCTCCAAAATATTGACTCTCCTAGAAATCTATCTAGTGCGCATGCACCGTCCTTCGAGTTGCACATTGTCATTGTAGGTGAAACGGCAACTGGCGGCTATAGAAACAATCGACCAGAACGATCTAGATGGGGTTAACCTCGACTGGATGTCAATCTTACATTTTCACTGCTTTAGGCGCCTAATCACTTCTAGTGCAAATCCCCAGATCTGTATCCTTGTTCCTGATCCAAGGAAACTAATCGGTTGATCCCGCTGTGACCCAAGAGTTATTCCCAGAGGCAACGTTCTACTTAATTTTGTCAGGACTTACCTCAGCTGCAATCTGTGTATCCACACATCTGACACTAGGGCGTGACATCCCTCGTGATGAGGATGAGTACACTGTAATTCGGTGCTGTTGCTGCCCAATTGCACATGACGCCACCCACGCCATACTCAAGGTTGCTAATACTAGATTCATGTGGGCCTGTGGCGGATGAGGTTCTATCTCCCTTCTCGGCCTTACTTTAAAGTGCCAGAAATATGAGACTATGCGTAGATATGATTAAGCTCCACTCTCGGAGCTGCCTTTTTTGCCCGACAGCTCCTTGGGATATCGATGGCTAGTTTATCGGCTTTGCAGTTGATTGATCAGGGTTCACTTTGGCCACAGTTGATGCCCTGCAATGGGCAGAAGTATGATTATGTGAAGAATACTTCATATATGGTTTTTGGTATCAGACCCAGTCATCTTTAGATATGGTTCTGACCCACACTATCCCTAGTTGTATCGGTACCCTGATAAGGAGTGGCCTGCCTTCGTTTAACCCAACCCAATCGGACCCGCCGGACATACTTCACACTCCTGGGCATCCTTCACGAGTAGTTGTACACTCTCCCAAATAGCGATCATACGGTAGCTTGTTCAGGGCATCAGGAGGGTTCTCAGCACTTGCGTCTGCTCAAAAGCCCCGGTGACCTGACAGATCGAAGCATTTTGCAGATCAAGTAGAGCATTTTGCTCTCCCCCATGCTTGGCGATGCCTTCAACTCATCCCAGGCTTTCCCAAATATATGATTGAGGCAGTTGTTACCTGCCAGCTTGCCGTGCATGTGTGATATTGTGTTCGACTTCTAATCATGCTCGTCCACCGGACTTCAGAATCTGCTCCAGATTTTCACGACTGTTCTTGTGCGTCATCTCGAGATAATTCAATTTCTTCTCCAGACCCTCGATGTCTGTTTTCAGCTCAGTCCTCTCGTCCGCTAACCGCTTGTCAACGGTGTTCATCGGAACTGCCACGAACCTACAGCCAAAGATGAACTGTCAGCCTTGTCTCGACGTCCTTACTCTCTAGGGTAGCTGATAGCCACGCAGAACCTGTACTCACATTTTCCCAACACCCTCGTAGACCGTTGTGTCTTTGGATAGCGATCCGATTTCTTTCGATGTCAATTCGAGGAGGCGGATATTCTTCTGCTTTGCCGTGATCTGTGCCTTGGTGACGCCAATCTGCTGCTGCGAGCTGATCGCCCGAGCTTCAATCTCTTGTAGCAACTATAAAACCAGTATTAGGAGGCGAAACTGTGGAGACATACGCCCGTGGCAACTCGTACCTTCTGGAGAGCTTCGTTGGGGATAGACATGTCGAGGGCAGATATAGGACGAGGAGGGGTAGTTGATGAGGGGAAAGGTTCGCGTCCTTTGGATTGATTACTTGTAACGATTTGAGTGTGGCGGCAGTGAGTACTAAAGATTTGAACTATGAAGTTTCCTCAGGAATTTGTGTTTGTCCCAACTATCCGCGGATCCTCGATGCAGTTAGCTGGAGTTGAACGATACCAATGTACAAGAGTTGTACGGTTGTACCCCCCCCCCACCATGAACCATACTTGGCCTGAGCTCCTCCGATGGCTGGGCGGTAGGGGAAATTACCGGATACGGCTATCTAGGGCATAGGGTTTGGGCTCATGAGAGGTACAGATCTATAGTATCTCTCGAGGAACTTATTTTTATTTTGCAATAGTTAGTTAAGATGGGCTCTGAAGATATGCAAGTCTTGTGCCTACTCGCTATCGGTTTGTGATCTTGTGGATCAATTAGGGGTTGAGATTATCCATGTTGTAGTCAGGATTTATATACTTCAATGACTATAAATCCACCGCAGAGGAGTCAATGGAAAGAGTGATTGCAGGGAAGCAAGAAGATCAAGCTTGACTTAGAGCATATTCTGTCAGAAATTTGAACCCTGGGCTGGTCATGATACATAAATTAGGTATAGCAGCAGATGACCAGACAGCCAGAAGTTTGTGCCTAAAGGACAACGACGAGACCAAACAGGGTCAAATATGTATGCTTTACAACCGAGTCTCTATGACAATGTCCTATTAATTCATAGGAATCACATTACAAGTACAAGTGTAGCCTTTGCCTATGATTGTCATTGCTCTGCAATGACTGAAACAGTATAGGCTGGTGGCCAGTCAGTCTTTGTGAGAATCTCGTACTTCAAAGCTATGACGATATGACCAAGGACAAGGCTAAGGTCAGTAAGGCTAGTGGTTACTAGCACTTAGGTGGTGGGTGTGACCAGAATCAACAATGATTAACGAAACAATGTATTTCTGGACGACTCCAAGAGCCCAAAATAAGGTATTTATCTCCAGCAAAAGAACCAGCAGGAAGAAAGGTACATGTGGGCAGGGATTCTGCGGTTGGCCGTCGGAGCTGATGGCCCATCGCTCCGTTGCTGTGGCAGGGATGCTGGTGGAGATTGTGCTGGAAGCGCAGCCCGCTGTGGACTATGGAGGCATACATCATCCACGCCTCGCTCTCCATTTCGTTGACCGATCTGAGTGTTTCAAAGATAAGATCAAGCAGAAAGAAACTGTGAGTTTGCTAAAGCCCCATCATCATTCATTTTGGGTCGTCGATTCCCTGTGCAGTTTCCACCATCTGTTCAAACAATACTAATTGTTTTGGTTTATTACATATAGTAGTCATTTGTTGTTAGCCGCCAAGTCATCGCCCTAGTTGGCTCCTGATCTCCAGAACCATTTTTGGAACGCCATTATAATCGTTGTTTCCGACAGATACTGGAACAGCTGGGTGTGATAGGGTCCAGTGGGCGGATCGCAGCCTCTGGCAGCCAGAATGAAAGCTTCATTGTGGATCACGGCCACATTCCTCGCTCCCACAGTCCTATCTATAGAGACATTGCCATTCTCTCTCCCGCAATTCGCAGAAACCAGCAAAAGAGCATACGATGTCTTGCAAATCCTGAAGCGCGCCGATAATAATTGCCCGGGGGGTTACGTTCCTTGCACCAACCTAGGCCATTCCGATGTTTGCTGCAGAAGCGACTCTATCTGCTCTCGAGACGCCGCCGATAATATCGCTTGCTGCCCTTCTGGGGCAAAGTGCACAGGAAGCCTTACGGGGGCGTCTACTGGCACAGACGCCAGTTTTAAATTCCCTGGCACCGCAACCGCGGCACCGACTACGACTACCAACGACGCTACAATAACCGGCTCTACGTTGACGGGGGCCTACCCGTTCATCTATGTCCCCACCACATTCCCCAATGCAGGCATATGCTCGTCGTACTGGTCCGTATGTCAAACCGAGTATTCGCAGTGCACCGCGGCTCTTGGAGGTCGCTACGGAGTCACCGTCGCAGGAGGCGGCGCGGGAGTCACGGTTGCGGGCGGTGGTGCAACGACCGCGGCGTCTGTTTGCTCGAGTCTGAGCCAAGCTGCTTGCCATGGACTCAACCTGGCGTATTGCGGCACGTATGCCACGGGAGGAAGCAGCCCGAACATTGCTGTATCGGGCCGAACCTCCAGCTTGCAGGACTTAGTGTTTGGTATGGTCGTTGGGGTGGCGGGAATGTTCATCTGAGCCTTTGAGGCGCTCAACTACGAGGTCGAACTATGAGGTCGACAGTATGAGACGCCCTCTTAAATTTGTTTGACAGAAGTTCCAACAGAGCGTCGCACAGATTGGCCTGTTTCACGATTCTTTCTCTTCTACGCTTTGGATGACCCATGAAACGATTGACTGATGATATGTACGCATGTATTTGAAATGGCGCTATGTTTACCAATATGCTTGTATATAGAAGACGAGGTACTTTCATCGATCCACATGACGAGCAGAACCAGATTGATCCGATAAAGCTTCAGCTCCCTGCCTTGTCTCTGACGACATATTCAAAGGTATTCTGTATGCTGTTCAAGATTGATAGATTCATTCAGAACTAGGCTTCTTGTGAAAATCCCCCCTCCCTCTCAGTCATTGGTCGGTCAGAATGGACTGGAGCAAGTGCGGCCTGAACTGGTGGATACAGGGAAACTCAATGCCTTGCCTATGCGCAGGAAATGCCCAATCTCATGCCCAAGTTCAAACTTTCGGATTTCCAAGGCATTAGCGTGTCCGGATTGCCTGAAGATGTGTTGTTCCTACATCAGTACGGAGCACATCTGTGCATACACCGCTCTAGCGATTCGAGTCGGAGCAGCCGACACGTCAGTGAGTCTTAATACTTAGCTAGCTCAGAGACCAAAGACAAAAGGACTGTATCAATGAAAACAAGTAACGCGTTGGAAAGCCCGATGTGGACAGTCCTACATCGACCTGATGGCTGATGCAATTCTGCTAGCTGATACTAAGGCCGGGTAATTTCTGGGATCTTCTGTTGCTGTTGGTGGAGATTCTAGACGCTCAATCGCCCGTCTGACGGTCTGAGTAAGTCACGCCGGCCGTTGAAAGCCAGGCGATCAGAAGGCCGATCGCAGTGACCTAGGAGTGATGCCGTCAGGGACGGCACCCAAAAGAGCGGGGAGGAATCCATGTGAGGGGCAGTGATGTGACGCCAATCACACCGACGGATGGTGCTCAGTATTATTAGAAAAGCTGATAGGACAGAACAGGAAATATGATATTACTCCCAGCCTCCTAGATTTTCAGGTAGATAGTGTCTGAGTCTGAGTTATTGCAATATATTGTGCGTCAGCTGTGTCGTAGCTATTGGTTGTTGTTATCAGGAAATCTGGTGGTTGGGTTGGGATGAGAGGAGGCTGGGAGTTGTACTCGGTCTCGACAGTCTCCACGAGCTGCCGGATCGCTTCTCATTCTTCCATTATTTTCTCTCATAGAAACATCTTTGTTTACGTCGATCATTATCACAGAATTTTTACATTCCGTTCGTTTTCGAAACCTCGTGGAATCTGCTTTATCGCATTCCTGCTATCGGAACTATCCGAACTATAGCCTGTCAAAAGTGTCACTGCTTCTGAGCTGGTCGACTGCTCAACGACTGACGGGCCCAAGCTGGGTTGGTTAGAGATCGCAGCGAACAGTCCAGTGTGGGCGACTGATCGTTACCCTTGCTCCAGCTGTTCAAGCATCCTCTAAACTGCTCCTTCGCCATGAAGACATCTCGCATAGTACGGCCAACGATCTCGATACTGGCTGCTCTGAGTCAGTTGCAACTATCAACTGCAACACCGCTTGACTTCGACGAGGCCAGTCTCGAGAAGCGCTGCGCGAACCCTTGCGGCTATTACGGTCAGCTATGCTGCACATCAAGCCAGACCTGCGGTACCAACAGTCAAGGACAAGCAGTTTGCTTGGACTCGTCGGGTGGCAGCGGCGGAACTTGGGAATATTATACCACTACCTATGTTACCACCGAGGCGGATACTAAAACGATTACTTCTACATGGAGTAGACTGATACCTACCGCAACAAGCTCGACCAGTTGCAGGACCGACCTCGGCGAATCGGCTTGCGGCAAAACATGCTGTGGTGCTGCATATGTCTGCGCCAATGATCAGTGTATTGTGGGAAGTTCATCGATGTGGGTAACAGCCACTGCGACACCTCCAGTGCGGGGAACAACCCAGTCGACTATGACCCAGACTGCAACTGCGACGACCACACAAGGTTTCATTCCACCTGTGGGAACAGACGGCGCAACTTTGATAGGAGTTCATGCTGCCGGAGGAGGACTGAGCGGTGGCGCTATTGCGGGTATAGTCATCGGCGTGATTGCTGGTGTCTTTATCCTGCTCCTGCTATGCGCCTGTATGTGTTGCAAGGGAGCTCTGGACGCCCTGTTCGCCTGCCTTTGTCCTGGTAGAAGGAAGAGAAAGGATACCACGTATGTCGAAGAGCGATACCATCACCATGCGCACGGAAGCAAACCCGAAGGCCGTACCTGGTTTGGCACTCGGCCATCTGCCTCAGAAGGAGGCGAAAAGAAGTCCAAATGGGGAAGTCTGGCGACCATTGGCATTATACTCGGCGCGCTTGCGCTGTGTCTAGGTCTGAAGAGGCGCAAGGATGAAGACGAGAAGAGTGATTACACTTATCCCAGCTCTTATTATTATTACTCCGACTACTACACGAGCGCAAGTATGTCTCCCTCGCTCCTCCAATTCACCGTCAGTAGCTAACCGTCTGCGTTGTAGGTAGCGAAAGCTCGGATAGGCGAACGAGAGACACAAGACGATCCAGAAAATCTCGCACGCCGCGCTCACGACGATCATGATCTAATGACTTGCTTCCAATGATCCGACGACATCTTCTGAAGCAAATTCTCCGTCTCCCTGTGAATGACTGAACATTCTCAAGGAGCTTCTCCAACAACTGATAATGCATAGATCGGCGCTGGCTTTGTATGTTATAAGTATGCTTGCTCTTTTTCCATTGTTATCTGTGATTTCTGGGACGGACATGTGTGACGATTATCTTCATGTGATTATGAAACTTTTACCTTTATGGCCTTGATGGATTGGACGAGAAAAATGATGTAAATATGAGCAACGAATACGAATGATCCGAGTTATACGGAGATACCGAAACCCATCTATCCAACAAATTTTAATCAGTGCAGGGTTATTTGACCTGCCACGCACATAAGATGCTATCAGTTTGTCTTGGGACAAATATATCCATACCCGGACCGCAAAGCATCATGAGCTCGAAGCTGAAGAGGGCATCTGGACGCAGGTACCCTTGTAGCGTAACACCGACGGTGGTTATGATTTCATGCATTCTGATCATCATCGCCAAAGGGCATTTTGAATCTCTGATTCCCCAACTTGGCGAGGGTGAGAGCAAGGGTCTTCATAGTCATGCACCTGCCGGCCTAACTCGTGCGCCTTTAAGTGTAACCTGCAAGTCGGTACTTTATTTAGTTAGGTCAGGTATTTGAGGAATGCAAGCTCTCAAAACAGCTTCTGAATAGCTTAAGAACTGTACTTGATGGTGAATATGAAGCCAGCAGAAAGAGAGAGAGATGAGAAGCGAAGGGTTCTTGATGTTATTTGGCAGCAGAAAGCCAAGATCATAGTACGTACTACTAGGAGTAACTTGTGGAGGCTCCACAACACACAGGACCCGACCCTTCTTCATCGCCAAAGTCACAAACCCAACTAAACCGCCTAAGCTCAACTTGCGCGCGCTCCCCGCCCGCCTCCCGAAGTCCGAACTTCCCTCTTCAATAACCCTCCTCTATCTGTCACTCCCGACTTCTGCTTCCTATTATATCCACAACCTCTACGCTACATCTGACTCCTGTCAGCAGAGATTTATCCATGAATTACATCTCCGAGTTTCCTGCTTGACAATCTGAACTAACCTATCCTCGCGACGCTTCACCGTCTCTATTTGTCGCCTAGGGTACCAACGTCCTTCGTCGGCCCGCCATGCTTCAGACACAGTCTCAGCACGTCTTTTCCCACCAGCATCAGTATCCGCAGGCTGATCCTTCTTGGCTACAGCATCAGCAGCAGCAGCAGCAGCAACAGCCACAGCAACAGCACCATCCGGCCCAGCCCCATCCACACCAAGCCCAACAGCAGCATTCGTCGTTGGTGGCTCAACATGCTCAAGTTCAGGCTGCTGCCGCCGCAGCGGCTGCCGCTCAACAGCAACATTATAATCGCATCGCTATGGCTGGGAACGGTGGTGCTGGGAACGCAGCGCAAGGTGCCGGTGCCGCAGCCTTGAATGGAGAAAGCGCTTTGTCCGGTGCGGTGTCGGTCATGGATGGTGGCATCAGCGATGAGAACAGAAAGGTCTTCATTTGGGTTGCAGAGCTGCTTGATCCGAATCGCCGGGAGGCGGCTCTGATGGAACTCAGCAAGAAGAGAGAGCAGGTTCCCGAGTTGGCGCTGGTCATCTGGCATTCATTTGGTATGACTTTCAGAGTTTTGCCCGCGATTCTGTGGAGTGGGTGATTTGAGCGCTCGGTACTAACGTTCTCTCGAAGGAGTCATGACTGCTCTACTCCAGGAAATTATCTCTGTTTACCCCCTACTCAATCCTTCCCAGCTGACCGCTGCGGCGTCGAATCGAGTTTGCAATGCGCTGGCCTTGTTACAATGTGTTGCCTCTCACAACGAAACTCGCACTCTTTTTCTGAACGGTATTTTTTTCATCTTTGATTTTCTTTCGTGTCTTGAGAAACAGCATTGCTGACGAGTAACGTCGCCTTCTAGCTCATATCCCTCTTTTTCTTTACCCATTTCTCAACACAACTTCGAAGTCCCGACCCTTTGAATACCTGCGACTTACTTCACTGGGAGTCATCGGGGCGTTGGTCAAGAATGATTCGTCCGATGTGATCAACTTCCTCCTAACGACCGAGATCATCCCTCTGTGCCTTCGCATCATGGAGACAGGCTCGGAGCTTAGCAAAACTGTCGCCATTTTCATTGTACAGAAAATTCTTCTTGATGATATCGGTCTTGCATATATTTGCGCCACATACGAACGATTTTACGCTGTGGGAACGGTTTTGAGCAATATGGTTACCCAGCTTGTGGAGCAGCAGACTGTGAGATTGCTAAAACATGTTGTCCGCTGCTTCCTTCGGTGAGTCTTGACCTCTG